GGGGCGTTGCTGCACCCCATCGGGTCCAGGTGCCATTGGCATCAACCACAGTGCTACAGAAACTGATGCATCCGGCCTCAAATCACATGGGGTGAGCCATCAAAGTGGAATTTGCCAGAGACAAAAGAGCCGATGTGATCCGCCAGGCCCCAGCTACACACAGCCCCTGCTCCGACCCAAACACGGGCATCTCCACACCTCCCTGTGCCACCGATCCCACCGCACGCTCCCCGTGCACAGCAGGATGCTCCGCCTGCACCATCCATGAGCGCCTCCATGGTGACAAATCACTGCCACCAGGAGCCAAAGCCACCTCCAGGTCCGGCACACCGGCACCTCCACACCCAGACCCACAGCCTCACACAGCACAGCACAGCTGCGCCCAGGAGGGCGGTGATGCGCGGGCAGCAGGCGTGTGATATGGAGAGGAGTCTGATCAGGAGTTATTCTCAGCTTCTGCCGTGCTGAGAGCTCACACGCCTATAAATAGCCAGCAACGGAGCTGTACCTGAGCTGCAGCTTTGAACGTGACCTGGTGCTGCTCTGGGGCTGAGCCACACTGCTCGGCATTGGGCTGGGACAGCACTGCCAGCAGGGATGCTGCGGTCCCACGGGTGGAAGCTCAGCGTTAGCTGGGCTGGGCTTCCCATAAAGCCCATCAGGGCTGGGCAGGACACACACTTCAGGAGCTCCCTGTTGAAGAAGCTCACCCAGATGCCCCACTGCAGGGTCCCGCTGCTGGCTGCCACAGCTGGGGACACGACCTGGCACAACACAGAGCGCAGAGGAGGGAATGGAGCGAGCAAAGATCCCAACCCGTGGGGCAGCGCTCAACAGGGCTGCACGTGGCACAGGGCTGGGGCAGATGTGACCCCACAGCCCAACCCTCGAGGAACCACAGCCACCAAACCCAACCTCCCAGCCACCTCCTGCCGCCCCTCCACCACCACCACAACCTCCACCTGCTCACACTGCTGCCAGCACAGATACGGTGTGGGGACACACGGTGACAGAGCAGCCCTTCAGCTGCTCATTCCCTCCACTGTGATTGCAGGGATGCCTCAGGCCAGACCGCCAGGCTCCGACAGCTTCTTCCAAAAAGAAAAGAGCCTCAGCATTTCTGAATTAAAAAGAAACACCCAGCTGCCTCCATCAGACCAGGCAAACAGCAGCGTAAGGAATGAAAGAAACGCTTGAGCGAAACAAAACGTGGAAGAAAGAGATGAGAGGAAGGATGAGAGGATCTGAGGGCACGCCGGGCGCCGCTCACAGCATCACAGCCACTCCGACATCTCCATTTGCACAGCTCTAATCTCAGCCCTGCAATGCAGCATCCCCTGCCTTCCCAGCTCCGCTCCCGGCTGGGAGCTGCAATGCAGCAGCACTGGGGAAGCCCTGCTCCCCATCTCCCTCCTGGCAGCAGCACTGTGCCCCCAGACCCACAGCTCCGCTGCCCCAGAGCGCCCCAAAGGAGCGACTGCTGCAGATCCCATTCCCACCTCTGCGCTCTCCCAGGAGGGCGTTTGCACACCAGAGGAGGACGTGACTTTGCAGCAGGACTGAGCCCCATCTCACCTCCCACACCTCTGAGCCTCACTCCCGAGACCCAAACCTGGGATCAACCACCCCGACAGACAGAGCCACCCCCACTGCACGCAGGCAGCTGCACCTCCATCTGAGGCCACACCTGAGCACATCCTGGGGACACCACTGCCACACACATCACCCAGCACCACCCGCACAGTGGCACAATGAGGCTCAGGATGGGAAACATCACCGGGCACCACAGAGCCACGTGAGCAGAGCTCACAGTCCTGCAGAACCCTGCCAGGATCCCGCAGAACCACGGCTGTGCCTTCGGCTGTCCCTGGGTGCTGGCATTGCTCAGGGGTGACACAGTGCCAGGGGCACAGGCTGTAGCTCCGTGCTGGCCTGGCACCAATCCCCCTCCCTGAGCAGCGGGCGCAGCCCCAGCCAAGGCAGGGGAAGGACCAGGAAAGGGGGTGGGGGGATGGGGGATGCCGCTCTCTGGCACTGCGGGGTGCGAAGCTGTGCAGGACGGCACCGAGCTGGGAACTCCCGGGGCAGGGCAGCAGCGAGGGCACAGTGCTGGTGGCACTCGAGGGCAGTGGCACAGAGCTGGGGCTGCAGGACTCTGCAAAAGGCACAGAGCTGGCAGAGCTCCTGCGAGTGCCACCAACAGGAGCATCCCCACACCTGGCAGCACGCAGCGCCAGCAGCACGGCCTGGGGGGTCACAACCTGCGTGCACAGCACAGACACAGCCCTGGGGGTGGGCAGCCTGCTGGTGCCAGGCAGCTGTTGGTTCCCCCCCAAAATGAGCCATTTTGCATTCAGCCACGTTGTTTTGGTGGGCGAGTGTTGGATCTGGGGGAAAAACGCAGCCAGGCCCTGGGAAAGCTCCATGTGAAACAACAATTTTCGAGCTCTCTGGGGGGAAGAATTTATTCCACCAACCCATCTCAGAGTAGTTTTGCCTTCAGATGTTTGTTCTGCTGCTTTTCCACAGGAAACCTTAAAAAGCAGCATGGATTTCTCAGCACCACCATTACCACACAACAGCATGGATCAGCCCTTTCTCCCCATCCTATTTCTAAATGCTGGAGCTCCCTTCTGCTGCCAGAAGGAAATAAATTCCCACCCCGACAACCTCAGCACCGCACACGGGTGCACTGAGGGAGGAATAACGTTCACATCAGAGCGGCCTCGAACAGCCGCGCTGCTTGGAGAGGCAATAACCACACCTGGGGATGGAAGAGCTGTGCAGGCTTTGAGCCAACAGCGAGCAGAGCTGCACGGCACTGCCATGCACTCCAAGGCTGTGCTGCAAACACTGCGGGGAGCACCGCTTCCCCAGGCACTCTGAGCACCCCGGCACTTCTGTCCATTAGCAGCCACTACAGGGGCACGGTGGACATCAAGAGGTGGCCGTGGAAATGGCTGCTCCAGGGACCTGCAGCGAGCACACGGGGCCACGCTGCCTCTGTGCCTTTCATCCTGAACCACCAGCACGCCCGGCTTTGATGAGGACGCTCAGCCTGCGCTTGATGTGCAACGTGTAATTTGGATGTTAGAAATAGCCTCTACAAAGCACATGTGGTTGCTGTGCTCTGGTGACCTCTCCCAGCTTACGCAGGCCGCCCTGCTTTAAGTGCGGGGCCACCTCTGCCAGCCCTACAAAGGCTGCGGTGCCATCAAACGTGACATTTGCAGAGAGGTAACATTTGGCCACCACTACACAAACCGTAGCTTTGGCCGACGCTGCTCTTCAGCAGAGGCTGGGGAGCATTTCTGGCAGCACGGAATGGAGATGGGAGCTCAGGTGCGGAGATCAGGGATGCAGAGTGCACCCGCGAGCCACCGCCCTCCACGGCCATGGGCACAGCTCACACTGTGAGATCTGCAGAGGAGCTGCCATCCCTGCAGGGGGTTCATCCACCCGCACAGCAGCAGATCAGTGAGGGGTCACCACCAGGAGCTCAGCACGTGCCCAACTGCGGCGGATGGAGCAGCCTCCACCACGCTGCTGTCATCCCACTCCCCCGAGCATCTCTGAGCTCCACAGGCTGTCAAGGACACGCCAGGTCGTTGGTGGCTCAGTTAACGAAGCGGCTGCGATTCAACAGCACAGCTCCCCCTGAATGCAAGCACACAGCCAGAGCTGCACATGAGGAGAACAGCACAGCAGCACGGTGACAAACTGAGCTGCCAGCAGGGAACCGGCGCTTCCCACCTCGGGAAGCCCAGCAATGCTCATGGGCTGAAAGAACGACCAACTTCGGGAAGCACAGAGCAGAGAGTTCACAAACCCAACGTGGCAGCACTGGGCCAACCCAGCCTGGCCAAGGGCAACCGAAGCACAGCCTGGAGGGATGCTCCACCCCAGCGGAGAACCACCCCAAAACCTCCATCAGCTGTAGAGCAATTTGTGCACGAGGGTTTGTTCCTACTGGGCCAGTCCTGCACCCACAGGGAAGGGCAAGGGCTCTTCTTGAGGGCGCTGAGGAACCCCCAAAAGCAGGATTACAGGGGCACACCAAAACCTTCGGAGCACAGGTACCAATGATGAACATCCATTAGGAACAGACCTTCCTGTAACACTGCCACGCACCCAGCAGGACCTGGGGAACGGGGATCCCACAGCAGTAGAGCCACCAAAAAGCCCCAAGCAGCGAAGGCAACCTCACACACACAGCACCTCGGCCCCACTCTGGGCTCACCCTGTGGCTTCCCACAGCACAGCGGCCACGGGACACTGCAGACCCACGAGGCACAGCCCTGCAGCTCAGCGGGGTCCGTGCCAGCCCGCGGCCCCCAGCTGCCGCTCTCGCACCGAACGCTCCGAGCAGCCTCGCCATGGCTGCCTTGAGATCGCTTGCCATCTTCTCGCGAGCTGCGAGCCCCCGGGGCTGCGGGCACAGGGGAACGCAGCGCTGCTTTCCTGGAGATCGGCGCACATCCACGCATTTTGGGCACAGGGAGCGGAAGGCGAGGGCCGGGCACGGCGCTCAGCCACGAAGCACCGACGAGACCCGAGCGCGCAGAGCCGCTCCCCGCCGCAGCATCGCACGCGGCCGCGGGTGAGAGCGGCTCGCACGCACCGCGCAGCGGCCCCGAGGGGGGCACGGAGCCCCGAGCGGCCCCCCCCCGCTGCGCTCCCACCGAGCTCCGCGTGCCGAGGGCAGCCCTCGGGACGGAGCACCGCTGCGCCTTCGGATCCCGTTCGGAAACCAGCCGCGGCCGACAGCCCGCACGGGGCCGGGGCAGCCCCGCTCCGCACGGCCTCGCACGTGGCCTCGCCCCCGGGCCAAGCAGCAGGGAGATCCCAGAGCCTCCCGGGATCTCCTGGATTTCCTCATCCCGCAACAGCTGCCGCCGGAACGCTCGCCCACGAACCGAACCCCCTCGGCTCCGCCTACGCGCCGCACCGACCCCGCGGGCGGACCGGGGGCTGCGAGCGGGGAGAGGGGCGGCACTCACCCAACATCTGGCTGAAGAGCAGCTGCTCCAGGTCGCCCAGCACCGTCACCACCAGCTCGGGGTCCACCTTCAGGTACGCCTTCTCCTCGGCCCCCGCCGCCGCCGGCCCCTTGCCTCCCAGCAGCTCGTCGTCGCACTTGCCGCCCCCTCCTCCTCCGCCTCCGCCCGCCTCGGGGGCTTTGCTGAGCGGCTTCACCTCGGCGTAGGGCCCGCGGGGGATGCGGCTCGGCTTCCCGGCGGCGGGCGGCGGCTTCTGGGGCCCGGCGGGGCGCGGCGGCAGCAGGGAGTGCTCGGAGCGGGATAGACTGCGCGACATGGCGGGCGCCTCGCGGCCACGGGGACCGCCGCCCCCGCCCCGTCCCCCCGCCGCCACCGCGGTGGTCGCCGTCCCTTTGGCCATGTCGTCGCTCCAGCGCGGCTCGTAGAGCTGCCGCTTCTTCTCGGCGTCGGTGAGGAAGGCCAGGTTGGTGAGCGACTTCTGCTTGCGCAGGTTGGAGCCGGCCGGCAGCCGCCCCTCCGCGCTGCTCGCCTTGAACACCCGCAGCTCCGCGCCCCGCGGCCCCCCCGCCGCCGCCGCCGCCGCCTTCGCCCGTTTGGGCATCACCGCGCCGCCGCCGTCGGGGCCCCGCCGAAAGCCGCGCAGCTCCGCCGCGCCCTCCTCGCCCAGCTCCACGTCGGGAAGGCTCTTGAGGTTGCTCCCCAGCATCCCCGCGCTGCAATCATTTAACCCGCCGGGGGCTGCTGCGGCACCGAGGGCGCGCCGGGAAAAAAGCAGGCAGAGAGGAAGAGGGAGAGAGAAAAGAGCGGCGTCAGCGCCCGCCCCACCGGCGGGGAGCGGGGGATCGCGGCGGGGGGAGCGGAGCGGAGCGGCCCCACCTCACTGCTCCGCCGCCGGCGGGACACTGCGAACCAGCGGAATGTCACGGGCAAACAAAAAGGGCCCGCCCTCCTCGGGCGCGGGCAGGGGGCGGGGCGCCGGGCGCGCTCCCGCCGAGGGGGGTGTGGCCGAGCGGGGGCGCGCTCGTGGGGGGAGGATCGCGCAGCGCTGAGCGCCGCGGGGACGCGCGGGGAACTGCGGGTCTGCGGGTGCTGAGCGCTCCGCTGCGGGGGGTGGCAAAGCAGCGCGGTGCTGGCAAAGCGCCCGCGTCCCCGGGGAGGGGGGAAACTTCCCCGGTTCACCCCGACGGGGGCGGGAGGGGCCCTACAGGCGCCCCCGAGCGACGCCACGGCCCCCAACCCCGGCACGGCCCGGGGGAAGGAAGGGGGCGAAAAGCGGGGCAGCGGGATCTGGTTATCATCGTTTTTCATTAATTATCCGTCCCTCGGGAGGGGTGAATTAAGTCTATTTGGTGACCTCACGCAGGCTGCCATGGCAACCGCCGGGAAATATTGCATTAGAGCACATCGCCGCTGCGGAGATAAGGAGCGGGAGGGCGGGGGGCAGCGCCAGAGCCGGCCCCAACCGGCCCCCCCCCCTTCCGGAGATTTGGGGTTCAGCCCCACAACGCTGAGCGGCCCCGACACCACCGGGAGGGAAAGCAAAGCGCGCCCCAATGGGAGCTCTGCACCCAAAGGAGCTGTTGGGTCCCCGCGCTGCGCCCCAGAGCCTCCCCGCTTTGAGAGCCTTCACCAAGCCATGCAGCTGCTGCTTAAGCACAGGGCCGGGGGGGGGGGGGGGGGGGGGCTCGGGTCATTTGGGATTGGCCTCCCCCTGCCCCCCGCCCCTCCAGCGAGGCCCATCTGCCCCCAAAGCGATGCCCCACGCGGAGGGTCCGGGCAGGGGGACGGCACGGCACTACGAACCCAACCCCGAACCTCCCCGAGCCGTTTTCAGAGCCGCCCGTCCCCCATTCGGTGCCGACACCCGGGACCCCCAGGCTGAGCCCCGCTGCCGGCAGTCCCGGGAGCGGCTCTGACCGACTTCTGTCCGCTCTCATCAGCCGCAGCCGCTCCCGCAGCGCCTCGCCCTCAGCTCCAGCCCTCCGCGGAGCACCCGCCATCCTCCGCTCGCTGCCCTGGCAACCGCCGCCCCAGCATCCTTGCGAGCAGCAGCACCCCCGCCCCCCAAAAAACCCACCCCAAAGCAAGCAGTGCAGAGCGGCGGGCTGATGCTGGTACCCGGTGCGCGATGGAGACCCCACGTCTGGGTTCAGCGGCCCCCCGGAAAATAAAGGGTTCCCTGCTGCCCCGCTTGCCCAGCAAAGCGCGAGCAGTGCTGGTGAATGGTTCATTGAAAAATGCCGTCGTGAGCGCGGAGCCGACCACGCAACGAGGGAGGGGAGGGGGGGCGGTGGGGGGTTCGTCCCCCGCACCTCTCAAGGCGCTGCCACACGCGGGAGGGTCGGGAAGAACGCGCGGCTGCTCGGCGCCCGCCCGGGTGCGCAGCGCTGCCGGTGGGGCTGCGGGCGCGGGGAGCTGCCGGTGCCAGGGCCCGGCTGTGAGCTGGCTGCCGGCCGCCTCCTCGGAAATGGGTCATTCCTGGAGCTGCTGGAAAACTAGAAAGAGGAGGAAAGGGAGCCAAGCGGCGGCCGGGCGTCGTGGGGGGCGGCGGGGGTGAACCTGGGCTGCCGGGCACCGGGAGCGCCCGCCCCACGGCAGCCCCACGCGGCAGGAAGGGTCCCCCATCCCTTCCTCGTGCCCTCATTGCGCTTTCTGACCTCACAGGATCGCCCTGCATGTGCAGCCAGCATCGTCCTCGCCCCAAATCAGGGCCGTCCTCACTCCCCCGATTCTGCTTCCCCCTCCCCATCCTTCTCCTGCTCGCTACGTGCTGCGCTTTGGGGATGGATGCTCCCATGCTCTGCACAGCCTCAGCCCCACAGCTGCTCGTGCATCGCGTCCAGCCCCGCTCCCAGCTGCCTCCAGCTGCTCTGGGAGGCCCTGCACGAGGCACTACCAACACAGCCAGCAGCTCCCGCAGCCCCCAGTGCCTCCTCCCCACAGTGCCTGGGCTCTGGTCAGAGCCCACCAGGGGTCGAGGGGCACCCGGAGAGCCACAGCTCACCCAAGGACTGCCCAGTGTCTTCTGGCACCCCATTGTTGCTGTTTGATGGCATTTGGCCCCAGGGGACTCACATTGCCCACCCGCAGCCCCCCAGCAGCACCAAGCTGGCAGCAAGCAAAGCCAAGCACCCACACAAGCATTGCCCAGTGCAGTGCTGACCCCTATTTCTTTTTTTTTGGGGGGGGAACCCCAGCACAGCCCTGGAATGGGGCAGGATGAGCTGTGGGCACGGGGCAGCACTCCCACACAGCCCACATGCGGCCCCCAAGCAGGGGATGCACAGAATGCCCCCCGCACACCCCGTGCACATGCAGAAAACCCCACACACTTACTCATGGCTCTGGATTTGGGGTCGGGCACCTCAGCAGGAGCGATGTCACACAGGGATGTGGCATTCTGCTCTCCATCCTCCTGCAGCCTGAGGGCAGAGCGGGGCTGTGAGCGGGGGCTGCAGCTGGTCAGGGACACCCAGAGATGGGGACCCCCAGAAATTGGGACGTGGTGCCTGAGCCTCGCTGTGGACTCTGAGAACACCATTCCCGTGGGGTGGGGGTATCCGAGGTGTCACATCTCCTTCAGCTTTGCCCCTGCCCCACGCCAAACTCCCATGGGTGCCCCCAGACACCCAGCTGGGGCATCCCCAGCCCCGATTCCTACAGCCCCACTGTTCCAGTGATGCAACCCACGCCATCCCCACCGGCCTCCCCATCCCCACACTCTCCACCACATCCCCCATCACTCACCGGTAGTGGAACGGGGCAACAGTGGCTGTCACAGGGCGGCTCTGCGGGGAGGCTGAGGAGAAGCTGATGGTCCCCGACCCAAACATGGGGCTTCTGCTCATAGGGCTGGCATCGGGTCCATCCTCCACTGCCATCCCAAGGGGACGGTGGGCCCCAGGCCCCCTTGGGCTGTACTCCACCCGGCTTCCCCCCACCCCCTTCCCGGGGAGCAGTGGGGCTCTCTGCCCCCCATGGGGGGTTACACCTGGGCTCTCGGTTGCCTCACGACCTGAAGCTCTGGGCCTGGGTTTGAGGCTTTTGGGGCCGGGGGGTGCTGCCGGCCGTGGGGATGTGGCCCGGTGGGAGGCAGGGGGGCCTGAGGTGCTGTGCCGGGCCAGGGGGGCTGCAGAAGGCAGTTTGTTGGGGGTTGTGGATCGTGGCACCGGGATGGCGGAGGTGAAGTGGCCACGGGCGGTCGGGGCCAAGTTGGCCGTTCCATTCATCCTGGTGAGGCAGCTCCAGGAAGGCACTGTGGAGGGAGAGGAGAGTGAAGGAGCTGAACTGGGGCACGGTGATGTCCCTCCTCCAGGGCCCCAACTGCAGCCACAAGGGCAGCTCTGTCCCTGTGTCCCCATGTCTCCGCACAGGCAGAGACCCAAAGTAGCAGGGACCCCTCTTGGCCACCAACACCATCCCCTGGGCCCCAAAACCACCCCCAGCCCACTTCTCAGTCCTCTAAGACCATCCAGGCTGCAGCTCTCCAAGGAAAAAAAAAAAATCCCAAACTGAAATAAATGAACAAATCTGCAGGGACAAGAGGGGACACAGCTGGACATATGGGGACATGCTGGGGAGGGCACCCAGGTGCTGCTCTACCCCACAGAGGCTTCGCCTGGAGCTGGAGCAGTGAGAACAGGCACAGCTTTGTGCTGACGGTCGGCTCTGGGGCACACACAGCCCGCTCTGTTCGTGGCCTGGCCGCAGCCTGACGACTCTCAGGGCACTCAGCACTGGGGCTGTGATGCATCTCTATGGATTTTTTTGACCTATTCGGTCAGGTTGGATTCCCTCCCGTGGGCACAGCACATCCCCCAGGGAGCAGTCCCTGTGCTCAGCCAAGTGTGGTCCTGCCCCATGATGTCACACCGTGGGACCCTCAGATGGGGACAGGGATGCTCATGGGTCCAGGGATGCCATGTGAGCACCGAGCACCAAGCCAGACTCAGGAGAGCCTCCCACTCTAAGCAGCCTACCGCTAATCACCCATTATTTTATTAGTGAGCACAAATTAAAGTCATCCCTAGGAGATCCTGCACTTTCCCACTCTGAGCAAGCCATTAACTTGCCACCAACTTAATTCCTGCCCGCAGGCAGAGCTGCTCGGGGTGCAGAGGGTCCCCCCTGTGCCACATCACCGCGCTGTCGCCACGCAGGTTACAGCCTGACCTACATAGAGGCTCTCCCCGATGCCGTGGCTCCTTTGCAATCAGCTCCAAAGGGAAGCGATTTTCTCCTCATGAAAATGAGATGCTGGCTCTGCAGGCTCAGCTCGGTGGCGGAGCACCAAAGCGTGGGGTGGGCTCGGGGTGCTGTTCCTGGGGGTGCTCCCCCCACTGCTGTGGGTCTGGAGCTCTGAGCTCCACATTGCCCCGAAGCACAGAGCACTGAACCCAGGGACAGGGCAGCCGTCGATGGTTCGGGTGAGGGGGTCCGTAGGGGTGGATGTCTGCACCAAAGCGAAACAAAGCAGCCTTGGCTGAGCCGTGTCCTTCATCCCAGGACAAATGCAAACCGCAGCCCCGGAGGCACGTCTCTTTCAAAGAGGCATCTGTTGTGCTCGGGGCTGCAGCAACTCGCTTGGAATAGAGTCAAAACTCACCTCACACCTGTGGTTTCGGCAAGCAGAAAGGAACACTCGAACCTGGAGGCTGAGCCCCGGGTTGAGTCCCCATGGCAGAGCTTGGGGGGCACCACAGCTCAGCCCTGCAGCAGGACTCTGAGCACAGGCACACTGAGATGCAAAAAAGCACGGACTTCCACCTCTGATGGTGCTTCTCTACCTCTCTGTGTCTCAGTTTCCCCACCCCGAGCGAACCCACAGCTCTGGATGTCCCCATGATGTCCTGTGGGATCACAGGCGATGGCAGCCTTCAGCACTCTCCAACCGACGGGAAGCAGTGGCAGTGCAGATTGCACACCATCACCCCAAATCCCCCGAATCCTCCCAGGAGGGTGAGGAGAATCCTCCCACACCGACATTTGCAGCCTGGCTCAGACGGGTTGGGCACAGATCCCCCAAAGCCCCTCCATGCAGGATCCGACCCCGTGCTGCCTTTGGGGCTGGCGCTGCTGCAATGCAACCTCCTGCCCGGCACGCTCAGGAAGGATGACAAAGAAAAGGCTCCTTGTGACACAAGGGACATGAAACTCTCCTAAGAGAAACAGAGGGCAGCAAGGAGAGAAAGGAGCCTTCAGAGGGGAACAAACCACCGATTCAGCCTCCAGCCCTCGCGCTGCAGCCGGGACCTGGCCTGCCCCCAGCTGGGTGTCACCGCTGGGCGCTGCACTGCTGTAGGGCTCGGTGCTACAGAGTGGGGTTTGGGGCTCAAAGCACGGCTGAGATGGGAGCAATGAGCACTGAGCGGTGTGAGTCCGCGACACAGAACACTGAACCCTGCAGAGCTGCAGACACGCACGCAACGCAATGCCAGCGGGGCGCCCAGCAGCAAGCTTTTGGGGGCAGCTTCAGTGCCCGTGGAGCTGCTGGGTGAAGGGCTGCGGGCCGACGGAACAGGCGGGTGTCGGAGCAGCGATGGTTGCAGAGCCACAGCACTAATCCCTGCTTCAGCCACTCCACGGCAATCCCATTAGGCACTAAGCCCACTTTAATAACACCGTGCTATTAGCAAAGCTCGGCGCTCAGCTGGACTGGCTCCAGCACCAAATCCTGGGGTCCGGCGGCAGAACCTCCTCTGCCACAGCCGGGCCGGGTGAGAGCCCTGCAGGTCAGCCCGGTACCGGGCACGTGTCGGCCGCCCCTCCCCGAGGCCGCTCCGCGCGATGCCGTCCCCGGCCAGGTTCGCAGCGCTCTCGATGCCTGAGATGCGAGTCGTGACCCGAGGAGCTCCGCGCGTCCCCGCGGCCGTTCAGGAGCCGCCGCCGCTGGACAGCTCCCCGGTACCGGTGCCGCCCACGCGCGTCCCGGGCTCCTCCGTGACGGGGCGGAGCGCGGCCGGAAGCCAAGCGCTGCAGGCGGGACGGGGACCGGAGGAGCCGGGGAGCTCGGAGGCCTCCCGAGCTCGAGCGGATGGCGCGGCTCCGCCCTGCGCTCACCGGCACGACGCGGCCGGACGGAAGCGGCCCCTCTGGCCTCGGCCCCAAAACCGGGAGTTCCGGCGCTGTCCGTGCGGAGAGGCGCGGGAGGACGCAGCTGTGCAGAGCGCATTAAGCGGGCGGATGCGACGCTTTGGACGCGAGCGGTGGGACGGCTGCGATCGCTCGTCCCGGCGCTGCGCGGCCCTCGGCTCCGCGGAACGGGCCGACAAAAGGTGTTTTTTTGCCCCTTCAGAGCTGCTGAGGATTTGGGAAGTGCTGCACGGTAACGGCAGTGGGTTCGGCAGCACGAGCCCCAAAGCAGCCGCGGTAGCCGGGCGCGCAGCACAGGATCTCCCACCGCGATCTCCCACACCATGAACGCGCAGCTCTTGCAGCAAAAAAACTGCCCGAGACCCCCACGTGTGCCGAGGTCCCTCTGAAGGGAGCTCAGCCATCACCGAACTCCTCCTCATCCCCGGTTCTTAGCTCCCCGGGATGGGCGTCTGCAGCTGGAAGCAAAAGCCATGAGGAGTCTTTAATGGGATGAGTGGATTTTCCAGCGAGCTGCAAAGCTGCAGTGCCTGCGAGTGCCACGCAAACGCCTCGTTATGCCGGTATTAATGAGGAGTTTGCAGCGTTTGCTGTGTGCAGTGCAAGCAGCCAGACTGCCGGCCCGGCTTCAGACTGATCGCCGCAACGCAGCCGGGTGGGAGCAGCATCTCTGGGCTCCATTAGCATCCCCACAGGGCAGTGATCTGCACGTGGCTGTAATGGAAGAAGCTCCCCCAGCCCCGCGCTGCCCCATCCCTGCACCCTCACATCCAAAATTAATCCTTCATGCTCAAAGGAAAGCAGCTGATAGAGCAATCGCGGGTCCATCGCACCAGGAGGAGTTTCAGCTTTCCTGGAAGAGTCTGAGCATCCCCCGAGCACCCACACGGAGGAGGGCAGTTCTCCAGCTTTCCGCCCTTTCCCCTCCCCGTGGCATAGAAATCTCTTCTGGAAAGGGTCCAGAGAGGGCGCGGGGAAAGCAAAGCGAGGAAAACCGGAGGGTGGAGATGGGGCTGGGAGGGGAGGAGAAGCCGGGAGTCATCGCACAGCGCCGAGCCGGGGGAGCTTCCGCCGCCCGCTGCCCCGCTTTGCTGCCGGAGGTGACGCGGAGCGGCCGCATCCGCACCGAACCTCCAATGTCCGCGGGAGCCGAGGATGAGGACGGAGATGATCGCAGCCCCGTAAGGGCGGCGGCGCCCCGGGACACCACGAGCCCGAAAGCCAACCCTGCAACGCTCCCGGGGCCGCAGCCGCAGAGCAGGGTCAGAACGCGGCCGCCGTGGCGGTGCGGGGAAAAACTGGCGTGGCGATGGGGGAACGGCAGCCGGGGCCGGGGAAGGCAGGGAGCCGGAGCGCCGTCCTGCAGAGCCTTTCTCCTCTGAGCATCCCCGAACCCAGGGTTCAACTCGGCTGTGCCCACACGGCCGTGGCACCACCCTGAGCCCGTGCTGCGGCCCCCAAAGCCTTTGCTCAGTCACATAAAGCTCATTAGAGGCCACCTGTTAATGAGTAAGGCTTGGGGCCCTCCCTCAGCCTCCGGGAACAGTCGGAGAGGCTGGGACAGGCTCATGTCCAACCTGGGAGTGTACAAAGACTCTCGGGCTGTGGCAAGGACCAAGGGACAAGGGCCAGCTCAGTGTCCCAGCACCGGCTCTTGGGCCCACGGGAAGATATGCCACCATTCTGGCAGCCTCTGCCAGCTCCATGTAGGATCATCGCTCCACCCGGTGCCGGGGCTGCTCCCCACTGTGCTGGGTGGGAGCCGGGGGGCACCTGGCCTCGGTCCCGCTTGTCCCCTGCAGGGCCAGCCCCGCTCCAGCCCAGAGCCGGAAACACCTTTTTCCTGTCCCTGGGCTGCAGCGTGGGGCTCTCGGCAGGAAAAGCCTCCCCATGGCTATTAATAACCTGCCAGACCCCCAACCCCATCCTCACTTCCATCCCCACTCCAATCCCTGCCCCCTGCCCAAAGCCCAGGACTCACCTGGGAGCCCCCCAGCACAGGAGGAGGTCCAGATCCTGGGGACTTCATCCCCCCCCCCAATCTCAAATTGCTTTTGGGGTGCAGCCCCAACAAAACTCACTCACCCACAACCCCCAGCCTGACCCCACAGGCCTGCCCAGTGCCGGCGGCAGCCCGGAGCCGCCCTACGCCCCCCGGGCATCCTCGAGCCGCGTCAGATGGAGAGCGATGCCCACAAAGCACAGAGGGAAACTGAGGCAGGGGCACGGAGGGCGGTGAGCCCGGGGCTGCGTCTCTCCCGGGACATCCCAGTCGCTGGGAACCGGGACAAACAATGGGGACAGCAGGCGGAATCCCGCCCCGCTGCTGGCAATGTGTGCCCACGTCCCACGCCGCTGCCCAGCGGAGCCCCCCCGCAGCCGCAGCGGCACACCCAGCCTGGCGCGGGCTGCTGGCTTCTCTCCCGTCTGGATTTTTCCGAGGTGAGACCCGGGAGATCGGCGGCACCGCTGCACGCCCTCCTGGGCTCTGCGCTGCGCAGCCCGGCACGGGAGCGCGTTCCGGAGGCGTGGAGCCGCACAAGGGTCCCCCCAAAAACTCCCCCGAGCTCCCTGGTGCCCAGCGGTCCGCGCAGAGTCCTGCGGGGATCCCGGAGCCACCGACCGCAGCGCGGATGGAGACGGTCGGGCCCGACTCGGCACCGCCACGAAGTCCCCCCGCACCCTCACCGTCCTCAGCCCGGCGGGACGCGTCCGGGAGCAGCGGCCGTCACCGCGCCGTCCGTCGCCACGAAGCTCTGCGGGGCATCTTCTCGAGCGCGGGTCGGGCGTGAGAACCCCGAGCTGCTCGCCCCGCTACGGCGTCCCACCGCGGGCAGCCCCGGGCCTCAGTTTCCCCACCGCTTCGCGCAGCCCACGGACAGGAGATCCCCGAGATGAGGCCGGGAGACACCGCGGTCGGCACCTCTCCCGCAGCACCGTCCCGGCCGCGCTGCCCACGCTGCGGGACGCGCGTGGTGGCGCACGGGGAGGCAGCTCCGAGTTCCCAGCGGGATGTTCCACTCCCCTTCCCCCCCCCCACCCCGCTCACCTCCGCTCTGCTCCGCTCAGCACCGCGGCCGCATCCCGGCACCGCCGCTCCCGGTGCCGCTTCCACAATGGCAGCGGCGAATTGAAGCGGGCGCCGGGCTCCGGGGAGCGGGGCGGAGTCGCGCAGAAGCCCGGCCCCCCCCGCGCCCCCCCAACCCGCCCCCCGCAGTGCCGAAGTGCCGCGAACGCGCGTGGAGCGGGGAAAGGGGGGGAGGGGGGGCGGAAAATCCCACGGGACCCCCGGCGCGCCCCCGCCCCGCGATACCCGCAATCCCCGCCCCCTCCCCGCCCCCTCGGGCGGTCCCCGCTGGCGGCTCCGACCGGCAATGGCGGCGCTGGGGGCGGCCCGGGACGCGGCCACGGCCACGGGTGGCGGCGCGGCGCCGTTCGCGTTGCGGCATCTGCACCTATCGCTGCGCGTGGGCTTCGCGGCCGCGGGTGCGGGGCGGCTGCGCGGGGCCGCGCGGTTGGAGCTGCGCTGCGTGCGCGCCGGGTGCCGGGAGCTGGTGTTGGACGCGCACCCCGCGCTGTCCGTGCTCGGAGCGCGGCTGCTGCCGCCCGGCGGGGCCGTGGAAGGGGAAGGAGAAGGGGAAGGGCGGGAGCTGTGCTTCGAGAGCCGCCCGTTCGCCAGCTATGGCACCGCGCTGCACCTCGCGCTGCCCGAAGAGCCGCGGCCCGGGGAGCTGCTGGTCGTGCGGATCGACTACGAGACGGGAGAGGGGCCCGGGGTGAGCGGCGGGGGGGCGGGGGGACACGGGGACACCGGGATACGCGGAGCCGGGGACATGGGAGGGTGAGGACGCCGGGACGTGAGGACACCGGGAAGTGGGGACTTGTGGACGCGAGGACGAGAGGACGTGGGGCGGCGGGGACCCCGCGCCATCTTTCACCCGGACCGCGTGCCGTCCAGAGTCCACGCGGCCGGCGCCGTGCCTCGGCTCTGGGCTGGGCTCGCCGCGGGCTGCTCACAGCCCCACATCCCTCTGGCAGAGGGGACCGAGCGGTGGGGACAGCAATGGAACCCTCGCCTCACCGCCTGTTGTTCCGCCTGTGCCGCAGGTGTCCTGGCTGGACTCCTCCCAAACGGCCCAGAAGGAGAAACCTTTCCTCTATACCTCTGGCTTCCCTGTGCTCAACAGATCCTTCTTCCCCGGCTTCCACACCCCTGCCACGAAGAGCACCTACACGGCCCGGCTCCAGGTAACGCCGCTCACTGCGCTGTCTCTTCTCTCGCCAGGTGTGCTGGCTCAGCCCCGAGCAGACTGCGGGGAAGCAGAAGCCCTATCTGTACACTCAAGGCCAGGCCGTCCTGAATAGATCCTTTTTCCCTGGCTTTGACACTCCAGCAGTTAAATGCACATACTCAGCCACAGTGCAGGTAAGCGGCACCGCAGGAGGGACGAGGGGTGCAAACCCCAGAAACCTTCCCGGAGCTTTTGTAGGGCGCAGCTCTGCTCTGTAAGTGCTGGAGAGGAGGGGCAGAAGGCTGCCATCCTCACAGGGTGCCCTCAAAGCTGGAGCAGAGCTCCCAGAGGGTGAAACCCCACGGATCAGCGCCAGGGGAAGCAGGGCTTCCCTGGGTCTGACTTGAGGAGGATGAGTGGCTGTATAGGATGGGGAGGAGCAGCAGTTCTGCAGGGTTGGCACCCACCCCTCCTCCCTGCCCACCCGGTGCCCCGCTGTGCCCATGAGCTGTGATGTGCTCTCAGAGAGCCTTGGTCGCGTTGTCCCCAGTGTGGGAGGGATGGCTGTGAGCAGCCTGAGCTCAGCTCAGGGGATTCATTGCGGTGTCCCCATCAGGTTGGCTGAAACCCCACTGTGTGCCACGCAGATCTGATGGGCGTTTTGGTGACGTTTGCAGGTTCCCGAGGGTTTCACGGCCGTGATGAGCGCCACAACCTGGGAGAAGCAGAAAGATAATACCTTTGTCTTCAAGATGGAGCACCCCATCCCCTCGTACCTGATTGCCCTGGCTGTGGGGGACATTGTGTCTGCTGAGGTTGGCCCGAGGTGAGTGCCCACAGATGGGACCCAATGTTAAGGCACAGCTGTGAGCTACCACTCTGCCGGGGGTCTCTGCTTGCTTCTGCCCCAAGCACGTCCCCAAAGGTCCCTTTCCCCCCTGGTACAGCAACGACACAAAAGCCCTTTGGCACTCAGGTTGGGAAGGAGGCTGCAGCAGTTGGACTCTCCTTAGCTTTATTGCCAGGCTTTCATGTCGCAGCATAAAGACGTGCGGTCGCTGCCTGGTGAAGCAATAGGTGAAAGTCTACTGGTGGTTAAACCTTCCTCTGCTCTGCTCCAGGCCGAGCACACGAGCTGCAGGTCTGTCCCTTGTGTGACGTTTGCCCAACAGGGGCTGTCCCCATCACGCTGTCACTGTGCTGCTCCACAAGGCCATATGTCACAGCCAATGCCCCACGCTTGCTCTGAGCTCTCCTGGTCTCTGCAGGAGCCGAGTCTGGGCCGAGCCCTGCCTGATCGAGGCTGCCAAGAAGGAGTACGATGGGGTGATCGAGGAGTTCCTGGCTGTGGGCGAGAAGCTCTTCGGGCCCTATGTGTGGGGCAGGTAGGACGAGCCCCATTCCTTGGGGCTGGGAAGGGAGCGCCTGCAGCCCTGGGCCACGGCTGCAGGAAGAGGTGAGTCTGTGCCGAGCTGCCGCCCCTCCCCAGGTACGACGTGCTGTTCATGCCGCCCTCCTTCCCCTTCGGTGGGATGGAGAACCCCTGCATCACCTTCGTCACGCCCTGCCTGCTGGCCGGGGATCGCTCCCTGGTGGACGTCATCATCCACGAGATCTCCCACAGCTGGTTTGGCAACCTGGTCACCAACGCCACCTGGGGCGAGTTCTGGCTGAACGAGGGCTTCACCATGTACGCCCAGAGGCGGATTTCCACCGAGGTCTACGGTGCGTGGCCGCACGCGGGGCTCTGCGGTCCCCATTCTCAACCAGCCTCGTCCCGAGGTGCAGATGGAGCTGCCACATCCGCTTCAGGGACACACGGCCCTGCACAGCAGCTCTCCCTGCTCTGTTCCTTTGCCCTTCCAGCTCTGGGCAGCGCGTGCTCTCACCAGCCCATTGCCGTGCCTCTCACCCTTCACCCGCACCCCATCATCCAGCTATGGGGCAAAATGCCATGCCCCCCCCCACGTTGTGCTTTCCTCACCCCACGTGTGGGTCATGGCTCCAAACACTCCTCCTCCACGCCAGGTTCAGCCTACACCTGCCTGGAGGCTGCGACGGGCCGGGCTCTGCTGCGCCAGCACATGGACACGACTGGGGAGGAGCACCCACTGAACAAACTGCGGGTGGTGATTGAGCCAGGTCTGGGGGGCTGGGCTGCTGGGATCCGGGCTGCTTTGTGGTGGGGGGCTGCATGGCACAGGGGTGGCAGCAATGAATCTGAGCACAGCGCTCGCTTTGCAGAACAAGGGATGATTTCCTTTGTGCTGTTTCCTTTCTGCCCTGCTAGGTGTCAACCCGGATGACACGTACAACGAGACTCCCTATGAGAAGGGGTTCTGCTTCGTCAGCTACCTGGCACACCTGGTGGGGGACCAGGGCAAGTTTGACACCTTCCTGCAGGTCAGGGCAGCGCTGTGCTGGGGGTGGGGGTGCAGTGGGGCAGTGCTGCGTGTGGCAGCAGGCAGTGATTGCACAGCACGGTCACCCTGTCCATCCCCACAGGCCTACGTGGAGCAGTTCAAGTTCCAGAGCATCACTGCAGACGATGCCCTCAATTTCTTCCTGGAGTTCTTCCCCGACCTGAAGAAGCAAGGCGTGGAGTCTCGCCCAGGTCAGCGCAGGGTGCAGCACCTCGGGGGCTCACAGCCATCTTCCATTCGAACACGGCGAGCTGCTGGGCTTCCCGGCACAGTGAGAGCTTGGCTTCATGGCTCCCAGCTCCTGGGCTTCCGTCCCGGCGCTGGTCTTATTGCAGACCCATCTGTGTGCTGGAGTTGGGGCTCAGCTCTGCTCAGCGCTCCCAGCAGGAGCTTTTTGTGCCTGGCTGCAAACCCAGCCCTGGGCAGCAGCTGGGGCTGTGCTGGGAGCTGTGGGACAGCAGGAGCCTCACATGTGGGCTCGGAGTCCCCCCAGCACTCCTCCCCACACCTCTGCAGGTCTGGAGTTCGATCGCTGGCTCAACACGCCGGGCTGGCCGCCCTTCCTGCCCGACCTTTCCCCGGGGCAGCAGCTGATGAAGCCGGCAGATGAACTGGCAGAGCTGTGGGCATCTGATGGCCTGAACGTGGAGGAGATTGAAGCCGTGGACATCTCAGCCTGGAAGACGTACCAGCTGGTCTACTTCCTGGATCGGATCCTGCAGAAGTCGCCCCTGCCTGATGGTGAGGCCAAGGCCACCTCCAGGGCTTCGATGAGCCGCAGGGATTGTGGTTGGGAAGGGCAGCTGAGATCCTGCAGTGCCCAGCTCACTGCCACCGCCCTGCAATCCTCTGCTGTCCTCACTGCCATCGCCCTGTGCTTCTGAGCACGGTGCCCCCTCTGCTCCCATTCCCCACCCCAACCCTGCGCAGTATGAGGCCGTCACCTTCCGTCCCATTGCTGTTACCCGGAGCAGAGCCTGACTCTCCCCCTCCCCTCCAAACTTCCTCTCCGGAGCTGCAGGCAATGGCAAGGTCTCCCCTGAGCCCATCTGCTGCGCTGGCCCACGCCGGGTCCCCTCGCCGTAGGACCCCACTGTGCTCCGGACCCCCACAGCTCCATTGCCCCTCTCTGCACAGCTCCAGTGCTCAGTGTCCTTCTTGTTGCCCTGGGGGGGTGGGGGGCCTTGCCTTGTGGTCCCATGGGAGCGGAGGCGATGGCTCTCTCTCCCAGGCAACGTGGAGAGGCTGAGCGCCACGTACCCAAAGATCTCCAAGGCTCAGAACGCGGAGCTGCGGCTGCGCTGGTGCCAAATCGTCCTCAGGAACAACCACGAGGCCGAGTACAGCAAGGTGAAGGCGTTCCTGCACAGCCAGGTGTGTGCTGGGGGGCATCCCTGCACCTCCTGCCCCGTGCTGGGAGTGCAGGGCTGTGCCCCAACCGCCGCTGTGCCCGGCAGGGGAAGCAGAAGTACACGCTGCCGCTGTACCGCGCCATGTGGGGCGGCTCGGAGGCTGCCCGAGCGTTGGCCATGGAGACCTTCTCAGCCACAGCCCCCCAGCTGCACATCAACGTCCGCAACTACGTCAAGAAGATCCTGGGCTTGGAGGGGAGCGACTGACTTCGCCCGCAGCCCCATCCCTGCCCTCCTCCTGCAGGCTGCTGAGCTCTTACTGCACGTTTCCTTATTAAACTCAGCTGTTTTTACCACTGTGTGCTCCTGCTCTTCTCGGCGAGCTTCAGTGCGAAGCCCCGATGCTCCTGGGGCCTGGTGGTGCCTGCACCACAGTGGGGAGGGAGAGGCAACGCTGGGCTCACAGCTCCGACCTGCACCCACCTGGGGCTGGATGCGCCCTGCAGGACCCCCAGCACAGCAGGGATGGGAGCTGGAGCACTGGGACGGGTCCTGGCTTCATCCCCCCCAGGCACTGCAAGGGACGAGGCGGGGATCCTCTTCCTGCAGGGCTCGGGGTGGCACAGCTGAACCCTGAGTCTGCATGGCTTTGTCCACCTGCACCTCACCACGGCCGGGGCTCTGGGCTTCTGTTTGGGGCTGGGGAGGCACCCTGTGCCCTGAGTGGGGCAGGGCCGTTCAGCAGAGCAAGCCCCACAGATGCAGGGCTCAGGGATGGAGCAGCAGCAGAACAGCTCCTAAACCTGGCGCTTAATGCCATCAGAATGGCTATAAGACGTTTCTGAGCAGTGCTGTAATGGAAGCAGGGCTCCGTCCCATCCGCAGCCTAATGGGCTTTTAGAGAGAAGCGTTCAGCAGGATGAAAACCTGCTCTGGTGAGCAGCCAGGCACTACCAGCAAACCGCACAGCGAGGGGCAGCAAACACACACTGGCACAGACAGGAGCCCACCGAGGATGGAGAAGGATGCAAGTCAAACATGACCGGAGGGCTGCAAAGAGCCAGCGTGGCCTACATACGGGGGAGGAGAGGGAGAAGACAAGAGGCAAAGCAGGCAGCCATGCTGTTAATTGGTCCTCATCAAGGGCAAGGAAAAGAGCAAGTTCCCCAATGCCAAAATGCAGCACAAAGCTGCCCACGTTGGCACCACGACCCCGGGCCCAGGACTGAGCCAAAGCCACCTCTGACACAGAGAGCTGCACAGCCAGCACCAAGCGTGCAGAGACCACCCGTGCCATCACTGCTCAGAAGGCATTCCAAATTCCACACAGTCACAGCAAACACAGTCAGTCGGGCTGTTACTGCACGGATGAGGTCAGCCTGCTCTTCCTTCCCAGGCTGTGCACGTTTGGAAAACTGGTGTCCTCTAGTGGATTCAGCATGGCTGAAAGTAACTGCTGGAATTATCACAGGCTGCAGCTTAGAACCTCTCCCTGTGGGCACTTTGTGTGCTTTCCCAGCACAATGTGGATGGTTGGGGCAATGAACACAACCCCTGGCTGGGACTTCATTACCTCTGAACCACCTGGAACCAATCCCCCGTGCTGAGGAGTGCTTGGCCCTCATTTATCTGCCACCTGTGGTTGGATTCACACCAGCAAAGCCAGCAGCTGAGACCAGTGGCCACCAGTGCCTGCGTGCCTCAGCACAGCTCACACAACAGGGAGCTGCTGCCCATTCAGGACTGGGACTGACTGGGAACAGAGCTCTGCCTCCGGCCACCTTCCTGCATGGCAGCAGCCAACCAGGACATAGAGCTTAAAATGGGAAACAAGACGCAGCACAGATACTTATTTTTAACAAAGCGACCTTCATCCAGCCAAGAGTTCTTTTTGCTTCATTTTTTCCAAAATGAATGCCAAGTCAATCATGTAATGCAGGCAGGAGTCGTTAGCTCTTTATTAACGTATGGATGTAGGAAGGCTTAGTGAGATAGGATTCATGGATTGGATGGTCAGAAAGGACCGTAAGCTTCTAGTTTAGCCTGAAGCACAGCACAGGCCTGCAATTCCTGCAGCCCACCAGTCAAGGTTGCAACAGGGCTTCACCTTTAATCCTTGCCACGGGGAGTCCCAAAAAAGTCCCTCCATCCTGGTCCAATATCAGCATCCCAGCTGAAACCGCGCTCTGCTTCCACCTCTGTTACGCCTGACTTCCACTTGCAGCCCATGGCCGTTTCAGGTGAAGTTTGTTTAACGCTGTTTGTTTCAAATACTTCTTCAACACAGGGACGACTCTTTCACACTATAAAAGCCACAGTATTGGGAAAGGCTCAGAACCGCCTGGGCCGGATTCATTTCCTCAATGGCTGCAGCGTTACATCTGTGCAGCAGAGACCAAACCCTTCTCCACGAAGGTACAAACCGAGCACATCCACATCTGCCTGCTCCACTGCGAGCAGCTCAGCACGGAGTGGGAAGGGAGCGAAAGCAGCCCCAGAATGGTGCAGAGGAAGGAACGGGCAGCGCCGTTATCGCAGCGCGTCAAATGTCTGCGCCCAGCTCCGCGCACTGCTTGTCTGAGATGTGGTTAGCTAGCGACTCTATGATGTCAAGGAGGAGTGGCTGGCTCAGGGAGCGGAGGTTTGGCAACTTGGAGACCTTCAAGGAAAAGAAAAACAGAACAGAAAAACACCAAGAAATGAAAACCCTCCCCAAATGGCAGCTGATTGCTGCTGCTTTACCCCCCTGCTCAGGTCAATGCGAAGTGCGAAATCGCAGCTGGGTGCAGGACCTGGCCCTCACCACTTCCCATAAGTGCACAGTGCTGCACGGAGGGGAAGGGAGGGGAGCACAGCAGAAATGCTGATCCCAGCACAAGAGAACAGTAATTACTACTCATGATGACAATTCTGCTGTTACCGGATGCAAACGAAGCGCTCTCTTAACGCAGCGCCAGGCACGGCGCAGCACGGAGCTCTGAAGTCTGCTTGTCTCCTTCAGGTCGTCAGAACTGACAGAGGATGGGATCTCAGCACACCCAGGTGCTGCTCTGGAGCTGTGGAACCTCAGAGCAGAGCCACGTGGGCTCTGCTTTAATGCCTCCTGCAGCCCAAGCAGGGCAATGGAGCAGCAGCCAGCAAAACCTGTGCCACATCAGAGGCGTATGACTCCAGCAATCCGTGTGCTCTGGGGCTGCTCGAAGCTCAGATGCACAACAGCCCTGCCTTCTCTCCTCCATGCCAGCAATCCCTGCTCCTGTGTTATCAGCACCACGTCCTGCCCTGCCTGCATTGCTGACACCATCCATCGCCTCAGCTGAGCACACCTCCAGAGAGCACAGAGCAGTGCTGCCCGAGGGCACGCAGCCAGGACTGGGAGCAAACAGACACCCGAAGCACTGGTGGGAATCGGGCCCTGCAGTGGTAGGAGCAGATCGGGGCTGGTGTCAGAGCACAGACAGACACTTCAGAGCAGCACTTTTATTGGGGCTTCAGCACAGAACCGACACACAAACGCCTGCACAGCCATTGCCCCAATGAGCGAACCTCTGGGAACAGCTCTTCCGTTGGGGCTCTCGAAGTGGGGAAACTCTTTTGTGCTCTAAATCGAGAACAGCACGAACCAAGGTGGGGAAGGGGAGCCCACAGCAGCCTGTCTGAGCCCCACTGCCCTGCTGGGCTCACACAGAGGGAACAAATCACCTTTCAGAGACTGCAGCGTGCAAAGGAGCGGAGCAGCAGGCGTTCCTGCCCAGCCACGCACAGTCACACAGTGCTGGGCCAAAAATCACACACCAAAGCTCCTCAGGCCAAACACAAACATTGCATGATTACCATTTCTTGCACATCTGCTTGACAGCCTTCCAGCCACATGTTGATGAATGCTGTTCTAACAGGCAACAGTTTGAATGTAAAACATTTCCACATATTCTGACTGGTGCCGATGAGCACAGCTGAGCAACACCCCGCAGTTCAGGTTGTTTTTCCTGATGTGCTGCAATATTTGTCTCCCTCAGCACATTCTGGTGAGCATCGCTCCAACCTGCCTGCCTTCCTCTGGCCTCCACAGGAAGCAGACACCCCAGCATTTCAGCTCTCAGGGATTACAGAGCGTTGCCCCAAAGCCAAGAAGCCACCCCAGCCCTTGGGCTACGTGCAGCGGGAGCCACACTGAGCTGAGCCCCTCTGCAGGACTGGGGGACCAGAAGAAAACACAGCACAGGGCTGCAGCCTCGTGCTGAGGTCCCTCGAGCAGCCTGGGGACTCCTGGATGCTCCCTCCACTCTCAAAGCTTTTTGTGCACTCCAAATGATTACAGATGTGCAGTGCACTGAGCTTCGGCTGAATACCCCCTCTGAATGTCCTTTAGATGCCACCTGGACACAGCAGTGCTTTCCAAACTTCAGGCATCAACAGGACTGTGAGATTGAACACACAGAAGACAGACCCCTACCTGAACACCATCCACGGCATCAGCAGGTATGGAGCACCCAGAAATCCCAGTTCAGTCTCTATGATTTACCCACAAATTTCAGCAATGCTAACAGTGTGCAGTGAACTCATGGAGGGATCCTCTCTCATCTGAACAACACCATGACAATCCCCTCATTCTCCCCAGTGAGGATGGGAACATCAGCACGTCAGACTCGTGACTGTTCTATCAGCCCCGTATCCAGACGTGGAAACCACAACAAGCCCAGCCAGGCCACGCTCAGCTGCCTTCTGAGCACAGCATTTCTGCATTCCCACCAATGGCAGGGAGAATGCCTCAGCAGAACTGTGCCCAGCACTCGTAGCTACCAGTGGAAGAGAAAAGTGCACTCAGTCCATGCCACGCCAAGCTTATCTTGTTGTATGCACAAAAACCCAACAACTGCATGCCACAAAATTAACAGCTGGAACAAGCGGAAATGGAAGCAATTCTGTTTTAGAAGGTCTTTGCATTTCCAGACTAGGATATTCTGGTCTTTTATTTATTGTTCATGTGAGAAGCGTGCCTGGCAGACTTGTCAGCAAGCGCCAAGGACAGGCAGCCATGTCTCAGCTGTCTCACATGAGGAAGAATGGAACGGATTCCTATGTTAGTGTGTCTTTAACCAACGCAGCCACAGAGGACAGCAGCTCTCAAAAGCCCCAGAAAAGATGCAACCAACCTTGGTGAACTGGTGAACAATGATGTGCAGGCAGTGCCTCTTCATGTCCAGGGCCTGGGTCTTGTCAGCTGCCTCCAAAATCTACAGCAAAAGCAAAGGTAAGATCTTCCTTCTGCGTTGCTCAGACATACAAGCACACAAACACTGCTCTGACTCATAGGAGAGAATTCCTCCGAGCTGCGGAAACATCGATGGTTTTCATT